TGAATCTGTCCTTGTCTTCATTGTTGTCATTGCTGATGTTTTGGCTTGGTCCCACCATAGTGTTTTTCTGATGCTTGGATCTTGTACTGACACGGTTAAGTGTTTAAGCTCAGAACCAGGCGCGCTGATGCCAATTGAAGATGTGAAAAACACAAGAAGGGGGGGTTGAATTGAAAACTTGGATCTAAAAAGCTTAATGACACAGTATTTTTTATCCTGGTTCGTTTGATCTCAAACTACTCCAGTCCACCCATCAAGGTGATTTCTTCTCTCTCCAACGAGGTCTTAATCCACTAATCTCAACAAGATTACAAAAGCTACTTTAACAACTGTTAAAGTCTTCTTGAGTACAACCACAATCCGGTTAATCTCAAGGATCTCTTTTTCAATATGATTATACAATATGTGTTGTTGTTTTTCTAACAAAAACTGTTTATCACAACTGTGATAAGTTACACAGATTTATAGCTTAGAATAAAGAATGAAATTGCTTGCAGCTTGAATATGCGTGAGTGGTGATCTAGCAAAATTGTTGTACGTACGTACGTACTTCATTTTGAAAGCTGACTTGTTTATATAGGCAGTGTAATGACGTTGATCATAAAACATGTTTAATGTCATTCACACACTTTCCTTTTGGAGAAGATCCTGTCTGAAGGAAGCCGTTGGAATTGATGTTGTCTTGAATGTTCAGTAACGCTTCAGAATCTTTTCTCCTTAATGCTGATGACGCTTCAGAATATTGATGACTTGGTTTGATATGTTCTTGATCAGAGTCAGAGTTTGATTAAGCGCAGGTTCTGGTCATCAATCTTCAGTGTATGTTTTGATTGCTTCAGCGTGTAGCACTTATGGCTTATCTTCTGATGCTGATTTGATTAGAACTTCTGCATACATAAAACATATTTTTAAGGTGCATATTTGTTATTTGTATTTATTTATTCTTTGTATTTGTTATCATCAAAACTCTAACCAAGGGTTGTAGAATCAAACTATGTTCTAACAGTATTGCATCTATAATTGGCAATTATTAAGTTGTAGGCTTAAGGCCAATGTTGAATTAAGTTGAATTATTATTAAGTTGTAAGCTTATGTCAACGTTGTTATGTTGTTTTTGTTGCATTTAATCATATTGTCGCATACATCGCATGTCAAGTTGGAGCTGATGCTCGTTAAGTTGACCTGAATTGGCAAAATATTAAGTTGAAGGCTTATGCCTTGTTGATGCCTCTATTTATTGGTAGATTTCTAAGTTGGGAGTTCTGCTTCATTTTAAGCTAGGAGTTCTGCTCTGCTGTTATCACATACATGTGCATAGTAACAAGTTTCATTTCACGTTGCATATTGAGTTATTGTGTTGGTAAATCATTTATTATGTTTCACTAATGTTTTCGTTGTGATTGACGTTGTTTAAAGTTGTGAAGTGGTGATTTTGTATAGACTAATTGTAATGTAATATTATCATACATCAAATTATATTGTTCGATATCTCACCCCTTATGTTTGAATGTTACCCCGATGTTGGTAACGTGCAGGTAATTCAGAGTGAAGGCAGTTTACCTTCAGTAGTTCGAGTCAGTGTCATTACTCTGATACGTAACACTCGGGGGGATGAACGCTTGTTGTTTTATTGTTGTTATTATTCCAGTTGATTGAACTTTAAGTTGTTGTTCATTAAATACTTGTTATTTGAAGTTGTTTAAATTGGACAAAGATGATATATTCCTTTAAGTTGAATATGTAACTCCGCTGTGTAGTTATGAAGTTGTTGGTTTTTAAAAGATTAATATCTGTTATTGTTGGTTCTTTCCAGTTTAATGTGTTATGCATATGTAATGAATTCTGTTGTTTTAAGTTGAAATTGTAGCATCTTGATTTAGTTGTTGAATTTTTATAACTCTGATTTTATAAATTGCCGGGTAGAATTGGGGTGTTACAATTGTACTTAACAATAATTAAAAATATGCTAAGGGAAATTATGACTTTTTTTACTGGTGTGAATACTATGCTAGGGGTGAGTGTGTGGTTTGCCATGGAATGACCTTCACTATTGATCTCTTCTATAAGTTCATTAAATTCAACTATCTGCCCTTTAAATTATTTCCCCCTAAGTCCTTAGTGAGAAAATCTTTAACCATCCATCCTAAATCCTAGTCCTTAGAAATATCTGATGGAGTCAAGCCTTTATCTTATCAAGGGTTAAATCCGGTGACAATAAGGTATCCCTAGTCATAGGCGATAGCTACTATAGCCTAATCGTACAAAAATCTTAACAACTGCGGTCTAGCTGGTTGTTAATCGTAAGTCAATTCTAATTGGTCCGATCAGGAAAGCATTAGAAACCTTGGACGATTAAATTGAAAGAAAACTATTGTATTCAAAATCAATAATTCATAGTCAATACATTTTCAAATCAGGGAAACCCCCTAACATTGGGAGGTTTATCCGCACATAATATTCAAATAGATTTCAATAACAATAAAGATAAACATTACCCAAATTAATGGTGAACTCTGATCTTCACTTGCTTCTGCTCATGAAAGGTCTTCGTTCTCCCAAAACTTGCATAGACTTCAATCTTTTGTCGTCAAATTATTCTTTGTTCCAAAAGTCCTCTTTTTCTTCTCCAAATCAGGTATTTATAGTGTTAGGCCATCCCTCTGATGAAAATATCCAAAGTACCCTTAATGATTCAAGAATGCAGCAAAATCTCAAAACTGGAATTTTATATGCCTAGGCCGACACGGATCGTGTCAGTGGACACGGGCACCCGTGTCAGCGTCTATGCTTTGCTTTGTTCCATTATTTGACCCAATTGAATTAACACGGGCCGTGTCAGTGGACACGGGCACCCGTGTCAGCTCCTGTGATTCTTCACCCAACGCTCATACTTCAGCTGACTTGACACGGGCCGTATAGTGTGACATGGGCGCCCGTCTCGCCTTCTGCCTTGCTCCCATCTTCACTTCTTTCCAAATTCTGCCCCTGACATGGCCCGTGTCAGGTGACACGGCCACCCTTGTCAGGGCTCTTGGAGCACTTCTTCATGAACTTCTGAATTCTGCACTTTTCTGCCCCGATTTGTCCTGTTTCATTCTTTTATTCATGAAAATACTAAAATACCAAACCAAAGAATAAAATACGGTAAAATGAAATAAAACACCAGTCAATTAAAAGAAACGATGACTAAAATAAATGCAAAATTCTTGTGTAAAAACTATTGGTCAGTGTATTAACCGATGTAACGTGTAATTCATCTATTTACAAAACTGCCACCGTGTTTTTTTTTTTTTTTAGGACTTGACTTTTCACATCATATATATTTATACCTGATGTAAAGACCCTTTTCTCAAATATCATATTTTTAGTAGTGCACTGTGATAGAATCTATTCAATTAGGTGCTTTATTTTTCTTTCTTTTTTTCATTTTTAAGTAACTGTTCACTACAGTTGGAAGTGTCAACCGTGATAAAAAGTGACATATGGTCATGATTTCGAATCTTGTTGTTGTTGTTGTTGTTGTTCTACTTCATCATTTTTTATATTTTATTAAAAGACATACAATAGCGGTTGTTTAATATAATCGTTGTTGTATGTAGCGCATAGTCATGAGTTCGAATCTCATTGTTGTATGTAACGCATAGTCATGAGTTCGAATCTCGTTGTTGTTGTTGTTGTTGTTGTTCTATAGTTGCATTTTTTATATTTTATTAAAAGACATACAACAACAGTTGTTTAATACAATCGTTGTTGTATGTAGCGTGCTATTGAATTTATTGAATTTCTTATAAGCGTGTTTATTGAATTTCTTCACAGTCCTTAAACAAATTTCTACCGTCCATTTAGTGAATATCAATGCTCAAGATATTACCATATAAAACCTAAAATTTAGACGAACTTCATCTTCTACTTCCAAAGTCATTTTTTATAAATCAAATTTGAATGTTAACATACTGATAAATTTATTATAGTAATAAAATTAAGCTTCAAATAATAGTTAAACCTATTTTATATTATCTTTCTTTTTTAAAACAAATATTATTTTCATGCTTTGTTATAGTTTTGTTTGGATTCAATAAGTCAAAGCCACATAAGAACAAAAAGTTCCCTAACGATGAAGCAATTCAACAGCCGATTTAGATAAAGAAAGCTAAGACATGGTGATTCTTGTGTACCTTCTAGAGTTGAAAATGTTGCAGGAATTGCATTATGATTCTTGGTTTATATGTAGAGTTGATAGTGCTAATTAATAAGTGCTAGACCCTTGTTGTCTCTTTCTTGGTATTTAAATCAGCAACGTTTTTCCTTCAAATAATTATTTTATTTTACTTGCTTCGTACGACTGTTGACTTTAGTTTTTCATGAAAATGTATACTACATGTGAAGTTCACCACTAATTTTACATGTATAAAATTAGTGTTAGAAGTTCGGTAAAAATAAAATTCTACTTAGTATTAAATGTTCTGTAGAATAAAAAATTCCATTATTTTGATTTTAATCATAGGACTAATTAGTTCGAATAACTTTCTTAATATTACTTTTCATTTGGAGAATCATACTTTAGTAAGTAACCTACCATCGTTTCATCTATAATAGCAAATAATGCAAACTCAACCACCCTTACAAATATTTCTAAAAAATAAGTAACAAGGGTCAAATAGCATCTTAAATTTTTCTATAACTTATATGAATAATAATTCTTTAAGGTTGACTCCTTTCCTTGGTTGAAATTGCATTGTCACGTAATTTTTGTCACATTGTGACGCATCAAAATCCCATCACATAACAAGACAATATAAACATTTAAAAGAAAAACATATGTCAGTACCAATGTTTGCAAAATGTCAACGCCTCCCTCCATAAGTCAAGATGATAGCAACACATCACAATTCACAACTACTTCCTCATGTATCTGCTCCATTCTCATTAGTCTATTATCTTCACTTCACCTAAATCCACATAAATATGGTTGAGTCATCCATATGTCAAAGACAATGATGATGGAGAAAGTTATGAGTTCTAATTGGTCAGAACAAGGGTCAGAAGATGATGAACTTTTAAGAGAGCTTTTAGATGATGAGACTCCTCTTTTTATGTTGCCACAAGAGAGAGTAAATGAAGTAAGCAACTATACAAGTCTTGATTCTTCAAAAGACCAGCCTTTTAATAGGCTCATTTCAAATATTTATTCAGGTCCTACTATTTCAGATATTGAAAATGCTTTGTTAGTTACTAACCATAGAGAGCATTTTCCACAAATTTCATCAAGGTAAGAACAACACTTTAACTTCCTTTGGTTAACTAACTAACTATGGACCCTTATTTGATGTGTGTTATTGTGTTTTGTTTTAGAGTTTCTATACTGGAAAGAAGTTTGAGTAAGATTGAGAATAAGTATACTTTGAAAATTAAATGCTTTGGAAATGGAATGGGTGATGATGGATATAGGTGGAGAAAGTATGGTCAAAAATCCATAAAGAATAGCCCAAATCCTAGGTAAACTCTTTACTTTTTTTTTTTTATTAGTTCTTAAATAATAGTTATATTCTAAAATCTTTTATAATTTCGATCAATACAGATGATACATATTAATTGCGGTTATCCCAACATGAATAACCATAATTTTTTATGTGAATAACAGTATTGATATAAGAATTTTTTGATATCGTTTTATCATGGTTTTCGTAGTAACTAAATGTTTTTAAAATTTAAGTTAGAAATACCTTTTTTAGTACAAAATTTAATTAATTTTTTATACTATGAAACAAACAGGAGCTACTATAGGTGCACCAACCCAAGATGTAGTGCTAAGAAGCAAGTTGAAAGATCCAATGAAGACCCTGAGAGTCTTATAATCACTTATGAAGGGCTTCACTTACACTTTACTTATCCTTATTTCCTAGTGGGCCAATCACATCAATCTAGTTCTCATCCACCAATCAAGAAGCCCAAGCCCACCTCTTCACAAGGCCCAACACAAGCCCATAAAGGAAACAATGTTCATGAAAGCCAGAATATACAAGAAGCCCATGAAGCCCAAGCTAGTGCTTCTTTGGGACTCATATCACCCACTTTATTGGACTCTACACAAGATTTGGTCCAAGAAAATTTGGGATCACAAGGGTTGCTTGAAGATATGGTGCCATTCATGGTTAGGAACCCTACAAACAATGTTGATAGATGATTACTCAGAATTTTCCTTTTCCTCACAACATTCTCTCCCAACATTATGGACTTAGTTCTGGTTGTTCCACTTCCACCTCTTGTTATGCTGTTGGCTTAAATCCAAGTGTTTAGATTATACATATGTATAGGTAAAGATATGAAAACTCAATAATTATAATGCATGCTAAGGAGGGTTGTTACAATTTATGTTGATTTAATTATATCATTTTTTTTATAAGAACAAGAAATGCTATGTAATAATATAGTTTGAATTTCATTTGATTGAAGGAAAATAATGTTATCTACTTCACTATTTAGTTTTTAAAATTAAATTATTTTTTTATAAAATGAGCAAACTTTGATTTTTGTCCTGCCATATCTTTTATTTTGTCAAATTTTAATTGAGAACATAATTTATTATAGATTTATTTTTAGAATTGAGTTTGACCTTTTCGAAAGTATTGTTGGTCTCTTAGACTACTTAAAGCATATTTTATTTGAACATATTTAAATTAGTAATTTACTATATGTTTAAATAGACTAGCAGACTAAAAGGCCAACAACACTAAGAGTATGAATGTATTGACTTATTTGAGTTTACCTAGTGACATAAATTTTGTGAGATTATTTGTGTACTTGCGGTGAGCACAATATTTGTGACCCTACATGTAATGTATAGGCAAAGCCTCAATGTGACTGATATGTGAATAATCGATTTTATTTGTACTTGACTTGATTCGTTGTATTTATAGTTGTACTCTTTAATCCAACATTTATTACCTTGACCTTTATTGACGTTACACCATAACGTTCATTTAATGTCTTGTTCCTTTGTCTGAGTTTTGAATATGTGACTCATATATGAGTCACCTACGTTACTTAAATCTGAGTTTGACTTATGGTGTGGCAACTTTTCCCATGTGGCGAGCATGTCCCTATAACGTCGAGATCATTTGATACGATATAAATATGGGATATGTTATTTATAATTGTCCATAATCTCTCGAGATTTTGGGACGAAGTGGTTTAAAGATGATGTTTTAAGGTCCAAACCAACTTAAGGCCAACCAAACTGTTTATAGTCATTTAAGCACGAGATCTTTAAGGGTGAAATGGTTTAATGATAGTCTTGAATCCCTCATTCCTGAGGCTTGTAAGGTGAATTGGTTTAATGACAATCACGAGTCCATCATTCTCGAGGTCTACAAGGGGAAAATGATTGAGGGTGAAGACACAATAGCTTAGAGTTCTTCATTCCCAAGGCCTGTAAGAGAGGAAGTGATTGTGGGAAATGATAGGATAACCTATAGTCCCTTAGGCTCGAAGCATGCAAGAGGGGACATGGTTTATGAATATAGATAGGATAACCCATATTCCTCAAGCTCTAGGCCTACAAGGGGTGAAAATGGTTGATAATTCGCCTCTAATTTATGCTTTGTGACATGTATATATAGCCCATTTAACCTAATTGATTGTTGGAACCACTAAGCTTTTTCCATGTTTGCACCTTCGCGACATAGTATGCGATATTTTCATTTTCTCCCATCTACAGTAATTCATATTACCTTTGTAGCGCCTACAATTTAACAACTTTTATTTTCTCACCTCCTTCGTAACACTTGACAAGAATATCCCATGCCTCCTTCACCATTCAGCATGACAAGTCTGATCATAGTTCGTCACATCTACTGTCGATTGAATACAAAACGCTGCCTTATAATCCTTCTTCTTGGCATCCTTATGGATGGTTCTATGGGCTTCAATTTCATTTTGAGCAGGTACATGAACGTCATTAGTAACCACTTTTAGGGTTTCATGAAAGCGAAATAAGAATTGCATTTGTTTACTTCATCAGATCTAGTTTTTACCGGTCAAGAATTGGAAGAAAATTTGGAATATTGCTATTGTTATTGTTCATCTTTACAATGATTGATTAACAACCCACAATCTCATAAACACAATCATTGATGTGTGATTCTTGAAAATACGATCAAGAACCTAACCAGAGCTCTGGATATTAATTTTTTTAGTGCTTGATTCACTTTGAGAGAGAGAGAGAGAGAGAGAGAGAGAGAGAGAGAGAGAGAGAGAGAGAGAGAGAGAAGAGAGAGAGAGGAGAGAGAGAGAGAGAGAGAGAAGAAACAAGAGAGAGAATGAAAAGTAATTGAGAATTGTTATTACGAAAGCTGTAAAAACTGAATTTTAATATATATATATATGACTTGTATACTAAGTAAACTAACATAATAAATCATAACTAACTTAGATTTGAGCTTGAATAACTTAACTTAAATTATACTCTCAACAGCTGCCACCATCTTCCACGACAAAGATCAAAATATTGAAAACTCCTGAAATGCTTCATAAGAAGAAAGCTTGTTTATTTCGCACTAAAATTAATATAGCGAATGAGAATGTTTAAATATTTGATGAAGACTCACTATGTTCACTCTTCACCATACTATAAAATCAATCTTGTTCGAATAATAATGCAAGTGTGAGTAAGTGGAGACTTGGGGCATATATAAGTGGGAGAACCACTCACCTATCACATTAAGGTTTTGAGTTGAGATGTGGTCTCTCTCTCTCTCTCTCATGGTTCTGGAGAGTCTCGTGATGCTTCTGACTCTCCCGGATGTGCCTTTGATTCGAGAAAGGGACCGACTTACTTGTATCAAAATGCCTAAGAAGAGGTGTCACATGCAAGGTGTCAACAGCGGCACAAGTGTCTTAAGATTGAGCATTATGGACTAACACTTGAGGGGAGTGCTAGAATAATAATACAAGTGTGAGTAAGTGGAGACTTAATCATATATAAGTGAGAGAATTCACTCACCTATTACCTTAAAATTTTAGATGGATAAGTGATGTAACTCTCACAAAAAAATGCATAATCTTCAACTTTATATCAATACTCCTAGTGAACTTCCCCAACAAATCTCAAACAAAACCCTTGTATATTTTTCCAATTCCCCCTTCCACCTATCAAAATCAAAAGCAAAACTAACCCTCAAATTGAATTGAAATCTCTTATTTATAAATCCATAACAAAATCGCTAATATCTTAAATTAAAGTTTAGTATAACAAAACAAAAAAACCATAATCTCAATTTAAAATTAAAAAATAAAACTAAATGCAAAGATCATAAGGTCATATAAACATGCTTAAGAGCAAATTTCGGGTAAGCATATTTAATTTCCTGATCAGTAGAGTTACGATTATCGCCAAGGAGTTACAATGGCTTCAGGATCGTGTGTGCAGAGTCATTTTTCAACTGGAACCAAAAACCAACTTGAAAAAAACTACTTAATTATTATTATTAATAATAATAATAATAATAATAATAATAATAATAATAATAATAATAATAATAATAATAATAATAATAATAATAATAATAATAATAATAATAATAATAATAATAATAAATAATAATAATAATAATAATATTAATAATAATAATAATAATAATAATAATAATAATAATAATAATAATAATAATAATAATAATAATAATAATAATAATAATAATAATAATAATAATAATAATAATAATAATAATAATAATAATAATATTAATAATAATAATAATAATAATAATAATAATAATAATAATAATAATAATAATAATAATAATAATAATAATAATAATAATAATAATAATAATAATAATAATAATAATAATAATAATAATAATAATAATAATAAATAATAATAATAATAATATAATAATAATAATAATAATAATAATAATAATAATAATAATAATAATAATAATAATAATAATAATAATAATAATAATAATAATAATAATAATAATAATAATAATAATAATAATAATAATAATATTAATAATAATAATAATAATAATAATAATAATAATAATAATAATAATAATAATAATAATAATAATAATAATAATAATAATAATAATAATAATAATAATAATAATAATAATAATAATAATAATAATAATAATAATAATAATAATAATAATAATAATAATAATAATAATAATAATAATAATAATAATAATAATAATAATAATAATAATAATAATAATAATAATAATAATAATAATAATAATAATAATAATAATAATAATAATAATAATAATAATAATAATAATAATAATAATAATAATAATAATAATAATAATAATAATAATAATAATAATAATAATAATAATAATAATAATAATAATAATAATAATAATAATAATAATAATAATAATAATAATAATATTCGGATGAACTAATTCAATGTAGGAATATTTTGACTAAATCATTTACTTTTCTGATTTTAATTTAATTTTAAATTTTTTTTCAATGACAATAATTATATTTATGAGAAAAAAATGGGATCATCCCAACAATAACAAAGATTAGAATCAATTTAAATTTAAATTAAATGAGTGGTCATTGCTCAATAATTCATACTGAGTTGGATAAACCTATCAAATCCAACCAAATCTATCATGGATTAGTTTAAGTTATATGGTGAATATGATTTTCAAAAATAAAAATACATTTAAAAACATTAAGTTTCATGTAAATTCAGATCTTATTCATGAAATTCATTCAACATACCCACAAATTCTACCATTAACTATTAGATTTTTTTGTTCAGGTCTCTTAATGAATTTGTATATAATTAATGTTTATATTTTTATTATTGCAGTTTGATTAAAGATATTTATGTCAAAGTAAAAACTTATTTTTGAATTTTGAAGTATATTTGAACTATTTTTTTATTTTTATTTTATAATTTAATGAATGATGACTTTAATGTGTTTACACATTTGTTGCTAAAAGAATAGCTACGATGACTTTCTATTTTGAGAAAACTAATTCTACTGTATAACCTAAGAGTGTAATATGTTATAATTATATTGATAAAAAACTTGTAATAATATTTTAATTATATGTATAAAAGAATTATATATTTATTTAACAGGGAAGAATAAAATCATTTGCAGAATAATTTTGTAAAAGCTAAAAAGTATGACTTTTTAATAAAAATGTAAAATAAAATTTTGTTATTTATATAGGGACAAAATATATATTGGATCTCTAACAAAGGCATAAAAATTGAAAAAATAAAAACTTTTTTTGGAAAACAACAACGTTGA